GTTCATCAGGCCCTGGAGATTTGAATTCATTTAAAGTAGCTAGGTGTTTCCTTGCCACCTGTTTTGCTATCTTGCACTGCAGTTGCCTCCTTGCATCATTTATTCTGTTATCATCACGTTGGGGACAGGTTTCCTTTTGGGAGAAGGCAGAGGCAAAGTAGGTGTTGAGCAGTTCCCCCTCCTCTCTGTCACCCAATAGCATTTCTCTGTCTTAACACTGAAGACTGCAAGCCAGCCTTGTCGATCGAGAGAGATGGCCTTGTGCTGAGCCACCTGTTTTGTCTTCCTCACATTCAGCGCATTGCTTTGTGATTGCAAATGGTTTCTAAGAGGAGGCTATAAAAGAGCTGCAGATGGTGCAACATATGGTGGTGTGTCTTCCGAGAGATAAAAGGTGACAGAGCCCACCAGCCCAATGCTTTGAATGCAGCACTTGCTCCTTGTCCAATCCCAGATTTGATTTCGCGTTTCTTGTCTGTCATCTTATTTTTGTGCAGAGGGTGCGTGAAAAGACTGAAGGCATAAATGAAATATTTCATAGCAAAACCAAGTCTAGCCTAAGCCAATTGCTTAATACTAGCTGAGGGTGTGTTTGGAGGGAAATGTGCTTAAATCTCTCTTACTGAAATCAACAAGGTAGAAAAGAACTTAATTTTGGCACCATCTTTTCTGTTTGTCTGTATATGCAATTATGCATATATATTCCGGTAGGCAGAATTGTAGACAAAATGCCATTTTGTACAGCATTACATCATTGCTTCAAGCCATCCCATTTTAATGGAAAACATCACTATTCTTGCTGTCCTTTTGTAATATAGCATTTATGCACCTATGTCAAATAAATAATGTATAAGAAGGCAACATTGAAGTCTGATGGTATTGAGAAAGTCTGATGGTATTGAGATTGATTTCTCCAAAGCGCTATATCAGGTAACTCTTCTGTTTTCCCTGCCCGCAGTAGCTCACTAGCAGTATGCATGTAGCTTTACGAATAAGCTCCAATGAGGCTTTTAAATCTTAATTAAAGCTTGGTCTTGCTGTACACCTGTTTATGATTAGGGCTAAATTATAGCTGAAAGCATGCTGCACTGGAAATAAAAACACCGCGTGAAGAGACTATGAGGCCCATATCAGGTCTCAGAGGTTGAACTCTTAATGGTTAACTATAAAACTGTAGTTTACTGTAGGAATTTACTTAGTCCAAAGTATTAACTCAATCCCAAGAGCAGAAATAACTATAAAAATCAATTTGCTGCCTTCATAAAATACCTATGCACAGCATTAATGCAGTACTTTCCAGGAGCACCCCCTACGAATGAAAGTGAAAAGAAAACTCCATCGTTTGGTAGTAGTGAACTAAAGAAGGGAAAATGATGGGCTAAGACCCTCCAAGTGTCCCTATTTTCCAGGGACAGTCCTAGATTTACAGAAGCCATCCCAGTTTCTGATTTGATCCCAGAATATCCCACTTTTCCTTAGGACGTCGCTATTTTCATTGGAGAAATGTTGGAGGGTATGGAGTTAAGTGACCCCCCAAGCCAAGGTGATACAGACTTTAGAAGACATCAGAAGGCAGCCCTGTATAGGGGCTTTTTAAAGTTTAGTTGTGTTTTAATATATGTTGGAAGCTGCCCAGAATGGCTGGGGTCACCCAGTCAGATGGGCGGGGTATATATAATAGTATTATTATTAAATAGGATGTCTCTACTTTCATTGGAGAAATGTTGGAGGGTCTGTGGGTTGAATAGAGAAGGCCCACCATTTTTTTAACAATTCCCCCCCCCAAAAAAAAACCTTACCTGGTGATTAAGGGCTACCGGAGTCACATACCCAGGAGTAAACCCTAATGAAAACAATGGGACTAAACTACTAAGTAAACATTCATAGGCGTGGGGAGTATGGGATATAAAAGAATAAAGAGGAGAAGCACATCTGAAAATGGTTCTCTCCTCCAGCTATCATACTAGTAGATGCAGAAATGCTCAGTTCTCTTTATTTATTACTCTTCCCCTGTGTGTGTTTTTTAAAACTGGTGAGGATTTTTCCAAAGTAAGCAAAAGAACAAGAAATGTCTCCAAATGGTCCTGAGAAAATATGTTAATCAGAGATTAACAGTCTTAATAAAACAACATCATGCCCAACAAATTTTGGCTGATGATAGCTTTCCTCAGAGGTGCAAGACTAAAGTTCTTCTGTCAAGGTGGGTTATTTGATAAAGATCTTTTTTAGCATCATTTTTCTGTTTTTCTGTTTTTGATTGTGCTCCCTTTTCCCCTCTGCGGGGGTCACATTGGTCTCCCCCCTGGTTTTCACACATCTGAGTCCAGCATTCCACTGAGTCTGCTATCCTGATCTGGATCCTACATTGTTTCCTAGTATTTCCAGCCCAAGGGTAAAAAAAATAAGTGTCCCTGGATTCCTTGAAAAAAAATCTGGTAACCACCTAAGTCCTTTTCATAGAAAAGTGAAAGAAACAGAGAGTTTATGTAGAAAATATTGAGCAGCGAAATGTAGAGCATCTACTCAGAAGAAAGTCCGATTGAGGCCAATGAGACTTAAACATTAATGGGTATAAGATTTCACTCTAAGTTACTGTCTGGGAACAAAGCCGATCTCAAGCCATTTATTTTCTACATCCGTATATTACATACTCTGATTACTAAGTGGCCTTATAAAAATTTTAAGGAGCTTTTTGACATTTAATTTCATAGGTTATTAGTAAAGGCCTCCAAAAATAGTACACGGGGCTTAATCTTTAGTTCAGTGAGGATACTTTCAAATGTCATATACTTCATCGTAATGGCAGTTCCAATACAGAGCTATGTGAGAGCTAAAAGTGTAAGTCTCTGTCTCAGACTTCATAAACTCAGGAGGGAAGAACACCATTTAGGTATTGATTTGTTTACTCATCCTGATCAACAATGGTCATGAAGTGTGCTGAAAGCTTCAAAACTGTTATTGAAATGTGAAGTGGTTAGAAGAAGAAGAAGAAGAAGAAGAAGAAGAAGAAGAAGAAGAAGAAGAAGAAGAGGAGTTTGGATTTGATATCCCGCCTTTCACTCCCTTTAAGGAGTCTCAAAGCGGCTAACATTCTCCTTTCCCTTCCTCCCCCACAACAAGCACTCTGTGAGGTGAGTGGGGCTGAGAGACTTCAGAGAAGTGTGACTGGCCCAAGGTCACCCAGCAGCTGCATGTGGAGGAGCAGAGACGCGAACCCGGTTCCCCAGATTATGAGACTACCGCTCTTAACCACTACACCACACTGGCTCCACTTTTCCAACTGGGTGCCCTCCATAGGTTTTGGGATACCTGATGATTGGTCATGCTGGCTGGGGCTCATGGGAATTGAAGTCCAACAACATTTTGGAGATAATGAAGTTGGACCAGGGATAGGGCCAGAAATTCAATTGAATTCACATCTAAAGGACATTCTACCTGAGTTGCAGTTTTAAAACACTGAAACACAGCCTTTCTTTGAAATTCAAATTTCTCTAAATTTCAACATGCAGTTCTCCAGCCAATGAATGTGTGCCAAAATGCTTATGTTGAGGCAAAGTGGCCAAATAAAGGCATATATTCATTAATATAACACACAATAAATTACATTTTCATGAGTACTTTGTTTTAAAAATACAAATTGATATGGAAATATGGAAGCAGTTGATGTTGAGGTGCTAACTTCCTGATTGATAAAGTCTAAGCAGCTTGCTGATCATGCATCTGCCCAGATCCAATTTCTAAGTTGTATTCAGGGAGCCATGTCTGCCTCAGTCTAGCTATTCTCTTCCACAACTTGTTTTTGTGAGAAAATAACATATAGTAGCTATGGCTGTTTGCTCCAGGGTGACTTCTGAATGTAGGAAGTCCACGTCTTTCCCTTATAACATGTAGTAAAACAAACAAACAAACATAATCCAGTCACATGTGCTATCAGCACCTTAAGTATGTTGCTATACCCACTCTACTTCATTGCCTGATGCTTATGGAGGTAGGGAAACTCCTAAGGTGTGATCGATTCTGCTCTGCTTAGTGTGAGAAAGAGATGTGGGGTTGCTGCTTCTGTTTGCAATTACTTGTTGACCAGAAAAAAAAATGGTTCTAACCATAGTCATAAGTTGACAGCAACAGACTACAGGTGCTCCAAACTGTCCGGGGGGGGAAGGAATGCCCCGGGGGGGGGGAATGCCCCGAAGCATGGTCGGGCATATGATACAGCTATATTGCTGAAGCTAAGCAGATCTGGGTCTGTTCAGTGATGGGAGACTACAATATATGCTGCCTCAAATTCCATGGTAGCAGTAATGGAGGCTAGAAACATGGTAAGCGTAATGTTGATAGAACGCTAAGGGTTGTTTGAATCACGCCTATTTCCACACCATCACCACCATCACTAAGCAATCCTTCCTTGTTGCATAGGAGTACTATAAAGGTAAAGGTAAAGGGACCCCGACCATTAGGTCCAGTCATGACCGACTCTGGGGTTGCGCGCTCATCTCGCTCTATAGGCCGAAGGAGCCGGCGTTTGTCCACAGACAGCTTCCGGGTCATGTGGCCAGCATGACTAAGCCGCTTCTGGCGAAACCAGAGCAGCGCACGGAAACACTGTTTACCTTCCCGCCGGAGCGGTACCTATTTATCTACTTGCACTTTGACATGTTTTCGAACTGCTAGGTTGGCAGGAGCAGGGACCGAGCAATGGGAGCTCACCCCGTCGCAGGGATTCGAACCGCCAACCTTCTGATCAGCAAGTCCTAGGCTCTGTGGTTTAACCCACAGCACCACCCATGTCCCTTAGGAGCACTATATGGGGTTTTTATTTTTAAATTGTTTTTATGAAGGTTTTCTTGGGTAACAAAAACACATACACACATTTCAGTTCACAGAGTCCTTTCTACAGATGAGTTACATTTGATGTGAGACACTAATGTTATAGACAGTATGAGGTTGGAGGAGAAGAGAGGTGGGGGGGACACACACACACACACAAAATTGTTACCTACCAATTTCAGAAGCCGTGACTGTTATGTTGTACCAAGGGGTTTCTTCTCTGTCGAAGACCTTAGCTGTTTTAATGGTCCCAGTGTTTGCATCAATGGTGAAATACCTATCTTCTTCTGCGTTGTGGTCAATGAAATATCTAGGAAGGACAAATAAAACAAAAATCAAAATTACCCTTAAAAAAATATAAATGTTAGAACATTTAGCAGTGAGCTAATTTCTTATCCATTGACATCTGCACTCTGTAAGGGGCCATGGCTCAGTTTCAGAGCACATGCTTGGCATGCAGAACTTCCACCCATCCTTGACACCTTTGTTTGTTAAGAGATCTCCAATCTAATGGATGAGGTTGGGAAAGGTTGTCTGCCACTTTTGATGATAAGCTGCTGCAAATAGACAGCTCCCAGTTTGCTTTCTCAATGGCTTAATTTAGTATAAGGCAGATTTAAACACATCACTTCTGAAATCAAGAACCTGCCCAAGGAAACCAATGTTTGCATTCCCACATTATTATTATTATTATTATTATTATTATTATTATGGTAAAGGTAAAGGGACCCCTGACCATTAGGTCCAGTTGTGACCGATTCTGGAGTTGCGGCGCTCATCTCGCTTTATTGGCCGAGGGAGCTGGCATACAGCTTCCGGGTCATGTGGCCAGCACAACTAAGCCGCTTCTGATGAACCAGAGCAGCACATGGAAATGCCATTTACCTTCCCGCTGAAGCAGTACCTATTTATCTACTTGCACTTTGACGTGCTTTTGAACTGCTAGGTTGGCAGGAGCAGGGACTGAGCAATGGGAGCTCACCCCGTCGCAGGGATTCGAACCGCCGACCTTCTTGATCGGCAAGTCCTATGCTCTGTAGTTAAGAGGGAGGTGCAAATAAGCATACTGTACATTGGATTGTTGCCTCTAAGTCAAAGAAAGAGGGAAGGGAGGATGGGGGGGGGAAAGATATAATTTTGTGTTTGTCATCTGGGAATGGCTGTTTCTGTTGATTTTCCCTCAACTTCCAGCCCTGAGATCTTTCACAGAAGAACTCTGAGGAGACTTTAAGTTGAGGCATAAAAATGGAGGGTGTTTCTATGTCCTAATGCTATCAGTCTTGGAGCTACTTTTGGATGCAAAGTCACTTTATGTTTTACTTGGCATGTTTGTGAAGTTTCTAGTTTCTTTAATTTTTATGCTTATATGTGTGTCTGTGACATTGTAGTGATATACTTTTTATTACGTAATCATGTTTGTACTAGAGAATTTAGAGTTTTTATGTGGACTGCTTTGAGCACAGATGTACATGTGGAAAATGTGGTTTATAAATAAATTGATGATGACTAACAAAGGTGGCACACGGTCAGAGAGAGGAAAACAATAACAAATAGAAGAAGCAACATGTAGAATAGATATAAGCGGACAAACATGAAAAACTGGAAGCTGCGGTCATCAAGGTGAGAAATGAACACAGCATTAAATAAAGTCTTCATAGCAGAATCAAAAATGACAGATTTTGGAGATGCTTAAAAGCTGAAATACACAAGACTTTGCTGTAGCCATAAAAAAAGAAGTTCAGAAGAGAATGGAGAATCAAATGCAACCCCAAAGGTTACCCATGTGGGCAGAAGGACAGACGCTGGAAGATTTCAAGGCAAAGTAAAATAAGATAGAAAGGCTAAATTGCCAGAAGGGCAGACAAAGAACTTCATTTTAAAGCTGTTAACTTTTTAAAGAGGAAACCAAGGCAAAACAGCAACAGGACATCATAGCAGACCATTAAACAGAGAATCTAGAACCAAAAGTTGTAAATTATCCACAAAAATGTGATATTGTGTTCATCCCAAGGCAGAACTCAAAGCTGCAGCCTCACTCATCTATAAGCAATTAATTAGTGGGCCTATGGGAGTCGTGTGACTTATGGCAGATTTGTGAGGAGGACCTGAGATTGCAAATCAATGAGCAGAAGTGGGATCAAATTTGGTCCAAAGCTCCATTGAAAGCAGCACCCAGCTAGGATTCAGAAGGCTATTCCTGAAGTTTTCCTGAAGTGGCATTGAACACTGCCACAGCTTTCCAAAATTAATAGGGCTGTTTCCTCACTTTGCTGGCCTTAGAGACACCTTCCTTCATATGTGATGGGAATGTGGTGATATTTGTGTGTGTCTTTACTGCATTATCAGGTTTCATAGGTCAAACGTTTGTCTTTAGTTCTGTGGTCTCTGAAAATCGCCTTGAATCCACTGATGGGATAGGAAATGCAAATCCTTGTGCTGACTGAATGGTTAGCTAACACTACATTGGCTACAAGCTCAGGGGTGCCATCTTGGTGGGGGGGGGAGGGGCAAATCCCTCCCAAACAATTTTTTCTGTGGCTTGCAGTGGGCCCCATTGGGCCTTCCCATGGCTGTGGCAGAGTCAGGAGATGCTGTGCAGGTTGGTGCAACCTTGTGCCACATGCACCAGTCCCCACTGTGTCTCCTGATGCTGCGGGGACCAGCACGGCCTAACAGAAGGCTTCACCAGCCTGTGCAGCATCAGGAGATGCTTTTGATTTTACATGTGGATGCTGGGCTCCTTCAATCTTGGGGGCAACCCAGTGCCTATGGTGTTGCAGATTATTGGTTCCCACTTTCCACAATGGCTCCCATGTTATACAGTGGTACCTGTTGGGATTTTAGCTCCCACAAGCTGCCAGCTGCAAGATGTTGCTGAGTCGAAAACATCATGTGATGTTCTGCTGGAGCGTGGGAAAGGAAGTCAGTGCCAGTTCACAGTGCCAGCTCAATCTGACTGGGTGGACCTTTAGCTACGTCCTTCTGCTCTCGGGATAGAGCAGGGTTGTGTGGCAAAACTCAGAGCTTGACTGCTCAGACATGCAGTCTTTCGTTGTTGTTATTTTATGCAGTAAATAAAGTAGTTATGAAACTACAGGACTGCCTTTTCCCTCTTGTTGCTGTACAAGGGAAACTGGTATGCTTTTCTTATAAAAGAGAAGCTGCCTAATGACCACTCGCCCTGGACTCGGTTACAGACGCTTCAGGTTACAGACCCTGCTAACCCAGAAATAGTACCTCGGGTTAAGAACTTTGCTTCAGGATGAGAACAGAAATCGCACGACAGAGGTGTGGCAGCAGCGGGAGGCCCCATTAGCTAAAGTGGTACCTCAGGTTAAGAACAGTTTCAGGTTAAGAACGGACCTCCAGAACGAATTAAGTTCTTAACCTGAGGTACCACTGTATATAATACAGGATGTACTTTTCTCATAAATCATGAAAGCAGAAATGAGTTGCATTTCCACAAAAGTAACAACAGGATCAGGGATGGCCAATCAAGGGAGCATCACAACAGTCTCAAAACAGAAAACAGCTCTCCCTTTAACTCTCCTCTGCTGCTGCCATTCTCCCTTCCACTGAAAGTGAAGGCCTTGAAGTGGAGAGAAGAAACAAACACAATGAGGAAGCAGATAAAGAGAGACTGACAAGCAACGTCTTTCCAAGTCTACTTCGCTGAAGGTCACCGTTAACAATTGAAGCAATTACAGCCTTCTGACGGCCTGCGGACCAGCTTATGAATCTTGATTGAAAATTAAGGGAGGCGTTTATTTTCCAGAAGTGTGGCTTCACTGATACCCACAGAGTTTCATGTGTCATTGTGCATTGTCTTTTGTTGGAACTATTTTCTACAATCCTCAATTATTTCTGAACAGTAATGCAGGGGATAGTGGATAGGGACTACAATAGCATAAGAGCTTAAGAGGAGCTTTCTGGATTGAGCCAAAGGCCCATATCTAGTCCAGCATCCTGTTCTCACAGTGGCCAATCAGATACCTATGGGCATTCTGCCCACCTGTGATTGTCAGCAACTGGTATTCAAAAGTATACTGTCTTTAACAGTGGAGGTGCAGCATGGCCGTGTAGCTAGTAGCTGTTGATAGACATATCTTCCATGAATTTGTCTAATCCTCTTTTAAAATCATCCACGTTGGTGGCCATCACTGCCTCCCGTGGAAGCAAGTTTTATAGTTTAACTATGTGCTTTGCAGAAAAAGTACTGTCTTTCATCTATCCTGAACCTTCCAACGTCCAGCTTCATCAAATGTACATACCGTATGTTTCCGTCTATAAGACGCCCCCATGTATAAGATGCCCCCTATTTTGGGGACTTTGATTTAAGAAAATGGAGGGAGATGGCCTCCATGTATAAGACACCCCCGAATTGTGGTCATTATTTTAAAGAGGGAAAAACCTAGTCTTATACACGGAAAAATACTGTAAGTTCAAATGGAATGAGAGAAGGAGAAAAAAACTTGTCTCTACTTTCTCCATGCCAGGCATGGTCTTATAAACTTCTATCATGTCACCTCTGACTCACCTTTTCTCTCAACTACAAAAGTCTCAAATGCTTGTACTTTTCTTCAAGTACAAGCCTTGGTCATTCTGGTTGCCCTTTTCTGAACCTTCTTCAACCCTATAATCTCCTTTTTGAGATGGTGTGATCAGAACGGCGCATAGTATTCCAAATATGGTTGTACCATAGATTTGTGTATAGGCAGTAGAGTATTGGCTGTTTTATTATCTTTCTTTTTTAAAATAATTTTTTTATTTGATTTTACATTTAGTGTTTACATTCAGACATAAATCAGCACCACAAAAATATAGGATTACTCGTATCCTTGAACTTCCCTCCACCCCTCCATGGTTTACATTGTTAATCTCTTTCCACTGCATCTTATATTGTCCTTGATTTTTTTTTAAAAAATACTCCATTGTTTCCATATTATTACAGTCCTGCTAATGTTTTTAATTGTTTATAGTGTTCTCCAAGATAAATTATAAATTTTCCACATTTCTTATTAAAGTTTTTTTTTTTAATCTTCCTGGTTTCTGATCCTTCCAGTCATTTTTGCCAATTTGGCATAATCCATCAATTTGAGCAGCCACTCTTCTCTGTTAGGGATTTTGTTATCCTTCCATCTTTTGGCTAAAAGCATCTGCACAGCTGTCGTCATACAAGCTGCTGTTTTATTTTCAGTTCCTTCCTGAATAATTCCACAGCATAGAATTTGCCTTTTTCACAGCTGCTGTACACTGGATCAACATCTTCACTGAGCTATCTGTTATGACCCCAAGGTCTCATTCCTGGTC